GGGCATCTGTGGCTGAACGCCAGTCTCGGCTGCGGAGCGACTTGTAGGCGCCTTCCTTGAATGCCTGCATTCCCTTCTGCGTGGGAAGGTTGCGTAGCAGGGCAGATGGGAGACGATTCCAGTCTTGGATCGTGGCATGGGGGAATGATCGGAGAGCACTATTACGGGCTCCGGCGGGCAGTGTCGGTGCTAGTTGGTGCTGGTGCTGGTTCTTTTGCTGGTGGCGAGTGGAGCGCCGGTGCTGGTTTGCAACTGCCCTCGGTGGTGTCATGGTGGTCAGGATTGGGGGACCGTCGATCCAATGCAGCTTGTACAGGAATGTGAGTGCTGCGACTTGACGCCGAACAGTGAGGCTTGGGAGGTATGACCCTGGGCCGATGAGCTTTAGGGCTCGGTGCTGTACCCGGTCCAGCTGGTTCAGGGTAGACTGGGACGCACCCAACCATGAAAGCGGGCAGTACTCAAGTACTGGGCGGACGAAGCCGCGATACACTGCATACTTGGCCTTGCTGTCGAGAATGGGCAGGGCCTTCCTCATGAAGCCAAGACGTTGGTGACCACGGACTGCAACCTGTCGAATGTGGGAGCGAAAGGAGAGGCTCCGATCAAAGAGCACTCCGAGCAACTTCAGCTCCTCCACTTCCTCTATGGCCACCCCATTGAAAGTGGCTGGAGGAATCGGCCAGGGTTGACGGTGATGCGAAATTGTCAAGACTTGCGACTTTGTCGGCTCGAATGCGATCTTCCAGCTCTGGCCCCATTCAGCTAAGGCATCCACAGCAGTCTGGAGCTGCGCTAGGCCAACTGGGAGAGCGGTCAGGGATGGGATGCACTGATAAAGCGTGGTGTCATCTGCATATATGGCGAGCTGGGTTGTGGCTGGGAGGTGGTCCTCCATGTCATTGACATATAGGAGGAACAGAGTGGGGCCCAGTATGCTCCCTTGCGGCACACCTGAGCTGATTCGGAATTTAGGTGAGGTTTGTCCACTCACAACGGCCTGGATTCGTCTATCCGCCAGGTAGCTGTGGAGCCACTTGAGGAGGTTCCCGGACACTCCGTAAGCCTTTGCCTTGTGAAGGACACCTGCGTGGGAGACTTTATCGAAGGCCCCCGCAATGTCGACGGCAACAATACGTACAGCACCGCCAGCAGCTGCTATCTTGCTGTGTGTGTGTGGGGGGGGGGGGGGGTGTTTGCGTGAGTGTGTGTGTGTGTGTGTGTGTGTGTGCATGTGCATTTGCACGTATGCGTAAGTGCGCGCACACACACGCATACCACCACGTACTATCAAGTATGGGGGGGGGGGGGGCAGTGTGTGAGGCACAAAGTCTCAGCATGATGGCATCCTCGACCAGGTATGGGCGGACAGTGGTATTTGGCACTGCCATGAAGGCGCATGTAACCAAACCCTCCTGTTGATGTCTTACGTCCGGCGGCTGTTATTGTTACCTGCTGAGTAGCGTGGAGCGGGATGTAAAGGCTCCGTGTCAGTGTGAGACGCAACGTTCTCACTCTCTGCAAAATGTGTTGCCTAGTGTCCTTGAAGAGTCCAGCAGATCAGAACAACAAGTATCAATGTTCACAAGCGTATTTTTACAATATATCTTGTCCCGCCCCCTAAACCTAACATCTTTTTGATCCTGAATCCTGTGTCCTGTTGTGTACACGTACGTATGTGTGTGTGTGCGTGCATGCACGTGTGTGTATGTGTATATGTGTGTGTGTGTGTGGGTGTGTATATCTTTGTCCTCCCCCTCCCCAGAGCGCTCCCCGTGCCGACACGACCCTGTTCAGTGTCGCGTCGTCTCCATCTCTGCATCGCTCTGAGTGTGTGTCCGCCATGCGACAGCACCCCAGCATGGACTTTCAGCTCGTGCTCGCAACCAAGCAAACACTAGTGCTTCTTGACCAGCGATATCCAAAGACACCTGTAAGTCATACAGTTACACGGATGTGACAGGCGTCTAAAATCCGCAGGCTGCACATAGTGCTCTATGCCCAGTGGACAGAGCCAGTAATTCTTTTTTTAAATTCCACAATCACGATCACATAGTGCCAATAAACATGATGTGTGGGCGATTTTAACCAGCCATTTTGTTTTTTTGGGAATTTAAAGTAGCAATAGTGCAACCAGGTACTTCCTTGCCGTTACTCGCAGTTTCGTCTCTGAACACACTTATCATCAGGCTACCGTCTGATGAGTGTTTTCAGATTCGAAACTCAGAGTACATTAAAACCTGCCAAGGCGACCACTCGGATAAGGCGACCACCTGTCCCAGAAGACCACTGAAACCAGGACCAAGGGATGCTATTTCCAGACAAATGACCCTGGATAAGGAGACCACCTGGTAACAGAGACCACGTTTTGAAGGTCCCTTGAGCGGTTGTCTTACACAGGTTTCACTGTAACGGCAAGGAAGTACCTGGTTGCACTCTTGCTGTTTGTGGATTGTGTTGAAAAGCATCATTCTTGCCCTTCGCCTTCACTGGAGCTGCAATAATATTCCTCTGATGGCTGAAAGGGTTGTTGTGATATTAAATCTGTGCTGTTTGTTTATCTGTGCCCTTTTGGGTGTTGATGCTGGTAGTGGCTGTGGTGGTTGTGATGCCGTCAATCCTTTTTCTGTGCTTTGTCCTCACCCACTTTACTAATACTCTGGTGTGATGAGCCCATCATTGGGGTCATATTTTTCATGTCCAACCACCCGTAGGTCGGGGATTTGGGGCTGTCAGCCGTTGGGTAGTTCAGTGGCCAATTGAGTTGTCTTGCCAAGATGTCTTGTGAATCTCCCCCCCCCCCCCCCCCCCCCTTCTAAGGGGAGACCCGTGTGGCTAGTTTTTCAGAGTGAGTAAGTACAATGTGTGTGTATGCCTGTGTCTGTCTATCTGTGTGCGTGTGTGTGTGTCTGTGGTGTGTGGTGTGTGGAATGTATGCATGTACGTGGCTGTGTTTGTATGTTCGTACTTGTTTGTGTTTCCCAGGTACTGGAGTGGGACTACCCCTGGTCGACAGCCCCGCGGTTTCTATCACTGGCCACTGTCGATACATCCCTAACAAACACCGGTCATAGTGCACCGACTGCCGGCAAAGATCACATTGCAATGCTGTCATCATGCACACGACCGCAGTCAATGCTCTACCACTTCACAGGTACAGTGTGGATATAGTTGGTTGGTTGGTTGGTTTATTTTAATTCCCACAATAAACGGAGACTAGGCCCAATGATATGAAATTTAATATCTTTGATCACATGATATATCACATGTCTTGGTCACATTACTTGCTTATTACATGTAACGGTTATGCTTACATGACTTGGTCAGGTGATCACTTAGATGACTGCATGAATGGTTTTACTGTGAGAGTTCATGAGCAAGAACATCATCATAAGGCCATCATTTTTTATAGCTATGTTTCGCGTCGTCCGCACGCATACGTTTTGACTTTTTTCGGAAAAAATAAAAAATTGGAACATGCACAGTGAGTGTACGATCGTGCGAGTAATCAGTGTGGACTGGTTGCGATACGGCGAAGCTGGGATTCAGAAATGGCCTCCAGGGCAGCGTTGGTAAATCGTTTGTTCGGCATCTGGGAGCAATTTTCTATGAGCTTACACCAGACCGCATTGATCACCTCAAGCTGAGAGGATGCGTCGTTCCGGAGCTCTTTGCACCGCTGCTGAAGTCTCACTACAATAATCCAGCGAAGCATGGGCACCAACGGTTGCCTCCTCTGTCCAAAGTGAATATTTACTCATGCTGGTAACCCAGATGTTGTGCTTCGATGTACGATTTTTCTCTCGAATGTACACCATGCACGAACTATTGTGCTATGTACAGTGCATACACCTCTGATGAGCCTTTTTCTATTATTTTGCAACTTTTTATTTTTTCCACCTCTCGCATATGATTCTGGAAGTTGAACTGACGCGAAACATAGATATAAAAAATGATGGCCTAATCATTTTTAAGCAGACACACTAGCTGAGTTGGTATATAGGCATGTGTGCGGGTCGATAATACCCGCGGGCAGTGGTGCCGTTTCACCGATGTGATGTACCGTATGTTTCCGGTTGTAAGTCGACCTTTAGGCCACACCAAGTTTTTTCATTGTTTCTCGTCACCGCGCGCGTACCTTTCTTGAGGATTGGACCAAAAAAAATCTCGCGTCCCGGTAAACACGCATAAAAAGGCGTTGTAAAAGTACGCGCGGCGTCAAATCTGGAGTGCAGTGCTAGTGCACGAACCGAAGGACGACTTTTGCACCGTGTATGTACGCATACCGGTAGTTCAAGTACCACACCACCACACGACCTGGTCGTCTTCTTTGCTACACACAGTTCCGGTACAAGTCAAGACAGTGCATGACAGTGCACCGTTTTGGACTGACAGTGTTCCGGGCATCGGTAAACTTGCGGCATTGCGGACTACAAGCACTGTGAAGTTGCCGTGATTCCTTGAGTTCTTTATCAGTTCATCTCGTCGTGGGCGACGATGGCATCTGAAATAGTCAGCTTCTTTCTTTCCTATTTAAATAACATGCAACACTGGACTTCCTCACCAGAGGCCGGTGCAGGAGCCTGGTTTTCTGGCTGTATGTTGCAATTGACTGTCACGCGTGGTGTATAGTCTGATTTTAGGTCATAAATTGGGCCTTTGTAGTGTAAATAGCAGTTTTTGTTTTTCAAACCCTATTTTGTTTTTTTTCCGCCCGCCCGCGTTCCTTTTGAGATTTTCAGGTGACGAGAAACAATGAAATAACTTGGTGTGGCCTTACGACTAAAAATCGAAGGAGAAAGGGTGGGGGTCGACTTACAACCGGGATTCGACTTATAACCGGGAACTATATCGCGTCCTTCAAAATTTTGAAACTATCAGTATCTTACAAAAATGACCTGCACTGCATGCACGAGTGCACCATGTGTACACATCTTTGCCAGTTTATTGGCCTTTTTTCAAGGATTGGGACGTTATAGCCTCCAATAAGAAATGGTTACATGATCTGTTGATGTGTTAGTAGCAGGGAGTGGTTAGTAGTGCTTCGTTGGGTGAAAACTTTAAAAACCAGAATTGAGACCTCCGGATACGGGGGTCGACCTATAACCCGGGGTCGACTTACAACTGGTAAAATACGGTACTCTAATTTCAGAAATTTTCGGTGCTCAATATTTTCAGTATGAGGGCAAAACGCCAGGTTAGGTGAACAGAAATTCTAAGTACAGAGAAGCAGTTCCCCATTGGAATATGTGTGTTAGTGTTTGTTTGGTGTATTGACATTTTAGGTACAAAACAGACGCACCGAAAGTACTGAAAATAAGAGTACAGTCAACTTGGCTAATAACGACTGCGGATATAACGACAATCCGCGAATAACGACAGAATTTCCATGCCCAGAGCAAAGCCCCATCCAACTGTAATACATCGAATGCGACTTCGGGTATAACGACACTTCGCGAATAACGACACTTTTCTGATGCCCCGCCCAGTGTCGCTATAAGCGAAGTTGACTGTACACCGAAAACTTGTGAAATTACAGTAGTGAGATTGCAATCTTCCTCTTTTTCACTCTCCGCGTAGACGGCCAGTCCTCAAGCTCTTTACCTGACCCTCTCATTAGTGGAGGTGGGCGACACTCCATGGCAACCGGTAGCCAATCAGAGTCTAGTGGTGTTGTTCCGGCACCCTGGCAACGTGTCGGCTGTCCAGTTCAACATCGCCGTGGTGGCAGACTGCCGTGCGTCAATGTAGGCCAGCTACCCATGGCCCTGGGCAACTGCAAGTAAGTGCACGTGTGTGTGTGTGTGTGTGTGTGTGTGTGTGTGTGTGCGTGCGTGTGTGCGTGCATGTGTGTGTGTATGTATGTGTGTGTGTACGCGTATGTGTGTACGTGTGTGTGTGTGTGTGTGTGTGTGTGTGTACGTGTGAGCAACAATGGCACAGCTCACAGGTGACTGATGCCTCCGTGTTGTCATGTGTATGTTATTTCTGCTTCAGTCTCTGTCTCTTGCCTCTCATACACACATGCATGTACACGCGCACACGCTTTACACATTCACGCTCACCGACAAATGCAGGAATACAGTACTGTCAGGCGCCAAAGAACGGACGGCCGAAGAACGGCCAGGCTAGAATTTCACCATTTTTTAAGAACGGTCTAGGCTGGATTTTTTGCAGATAAGGCCACCCTTTGTTAATTCATTGTTTAACGTCCTTTTTTTCGCGAAAAGGTACGCGGGAGGGCGGAAAAAAAACAAAAGCCCATTCCAAAAACTGGAAACCCCAATCAAACATTTTGACCAGTGAAGCATGTGATATAAACAATATTTCTGGGTCTAACGGCACTTGCAGGCATAGAACAACACTCTTTGATGGTACATTGGAGCACATGCCTGATGAATCCAACAAAACAGGTACATAGCATGGAGTTAGCATGTCATGAATTCATTACATCTGGATTTTTACTAGGACACACACCGTACGATATTTAAAAGCCAACAAAAAAAAGAAAAAGAACACAAGACAAAGGCATGCCCGGAAGGCAAGATTATAAGTTTAAGGTCATGATCGGCACACTGTGAAACTACACAATCATGTACTACACAACTTCGCATATTATTGGTACTACTACTTTCTTGTTTTTTTTTCCGGTCGGAGGCAAAAAGGTACGCGGGCGCGGACGTTAAACAACGAAAAAAGAAAGGGTGGCCTAAGAACGGAAACCGTAATGTACACTATAATGTACACTCAGACGTATAACTCGGCATGAATATACATGTAAGACCGCAGCATCGAATAAGAACGAAACCGCTGTGTTCGCTAAAAATATGAACGGGCTAGGCTAGAACCCTGCCCCCCCCCCCCCCCCCCCCCCCCAGTTCTTCACCGACACATGCAGGCATGCACATTCACACTCACCGACACATGCAGGCATGCACATTCACACTGTCATTTGTACCCTCTCCACCTTTCGATAAGGCAAATAAAGTCAAAAGTTGGCTTGTGGTTGGTCAGTGGTTGGGTACATGTGTTAAGCATACGTAGTATCTCCCCTTATTCATGGCTCACACATGGCGGGTTTACGTGGCTCTAGTAAAAAAAATGTAGTTGCCAGAATTGCAATTTTGTATGTGTGTCTGTTCGTGTTCGTATGTGCTTGTGCGTACATGTGTGTGTGTGTGTGTGTGTGTGTTTGTGTTTGTATGCTGGATGTGTACTTTGCGCAGTGTTTTCCCTCGCTGTATGTCATCTCCACCAGCGCTCAACGGCGGTGTGCTGCAGAGACTAGACTCGGCCGTGTGTGGCAACGCTCTCGTCACTAACCTATCTAGCCGTGGCCAAGGCACGGGCACGTTTCTCACCTTGCAGGTAGGGAGGAAGTAAGTCTGTATACAAATAGGCGTGACTCTCGCTCGAACGGAAAGTTCACTAGATGCATTGACTGTGACTGTAATGTGTATGCCGTACGTTATACTGTATAGCAGGAAATTTTCGGACGGAATTTATTTTCGTACAATTTCGTACACGGCCTCTTTCGTACTAAAATTAATTCCGTACTAAAATTTGTTCCTGTGAAGTTATGTACACTATATACATGCGTACCGCACGCAAACACGTGCACTTAGCATACATCGCTGTATGATAATAAAATCCGTACGAAAGGTCGAAATTCGGCTTTGTCCGAAAATATTTCCGTCCGAAAATTCCCTGCTGTACAGTGCTTTGCTAGGTAGTGCAAACCAGCAGAGTTTCTTGCGAGCGAGCTAACGAGTACCTGGTGAGATCCTTTCAACCGGTGTAGCCAAGGTGTGTGTGTGTGTGCGTGCGTGTGTGTGTGGGGAGGGGGGGGGGGGGGGGAGGGGGGTGTTGTGCTTGCTCTATACTTCGTGTACTTTTAAACGGGAAGGTGAACCTAAAATGAAAACTTTACAACTGGTAGCGAAAAATGCACCGATTCCAGTGGTGAAGGTCCCAGGTTGATCGGAGCAGCCGTTCCCGAGTTATAACAGCTTGATGTTTGCACTAAATTTGGTGACATCATGATGGCGTCATAAACTTGCCCAGACCAGGCCGGATTTATGACGTCAGAGAGATAGACTTTGTATGGGAGTAGATGGGGAAAAACCAATTTCTTTCTTGTATCTCTGCAACAATAAATTTCATACTAGAATTTTTCCAGTCGGGATACCGGTAGGGTACCATATGTCCTATACCGAAGTTTGAAAAAGATGCTACTTCTTTGGGGCAATGGAGAGCCAAAATACTGAAATTTCCCCATCTACTCCCATGCAAAGTCTATCTCTCTGACGTCATAAATCCGGCCTACTCTGGGCAAGTTCATGACGTCATCATGGTGTCACTAAATTTAGTGCAAACTTCAAGCTGGTATACCTTTGGAACGGCTGCTCCGATCAACCTCGGACCTTCACCATTGGAATCAGTGCATTTTTCGCTACAAGTTGTGAAGTGTTCATTTTAGGGTGAACCTCCCCTTTAAAAATAAACAAATGTGAAACTCAGTTTTCTTGACTTAGGTTGCTGTGTTGTTGCCGTTGCTCTGCAGATGACGGAATCCGGTGACGTGTTTAGTCAGCTTGTCCAGCCGGTAGCGGCGGCGGAAAGTGAACGTTGCAGTGGCCGCTCGTCTCCTGCCCACATGGACGAGGTGTTTTTCAACTCCCAGCGTCGGCGTCAGCAGCGAGGAGGACACGCCAGTACGGCTGGCGCGGGCGACGATCATGACAGTGATGGGTCGTCATCGGATAGGAGCAGTACTGAAGACGGCGCCGACTCCAGCGTGCGTGACCTGCTTGCGAGGACGCTGGACGCTTCGTGTCAAGAGGACTGCCGATCGTGGCTGCTCCACGCCAAGGCTCACCACCGAGTGAGTGTGCTTCCTGATTCAGTACAGCACTCAGTACATGTACTAGTAACTACTAAAGCCTCTTGTATGGGCAAAAAGAAATAGATCGTGAAATCAGAAAAGCGCAGGGCCCCAACGGCAAGGGGGGGGGGGGGGGGAGGGAGGGAGGCTAACTGAGCCACTGTACGAGTTGAACCATTATTAGCCGAAGAAACGTTGCACGTATGTTGTTCCTTCTCTCCTCTGTACAAGAGAAACAGAAGACAGGTGTGTGATGGCAGGCTCGTTAAACTTTGTGGGAATTTTTTTGCAAATCTTAAAACTTTAGACTCGTCACACTTTCAACTCTTCCAGTGTAGTATTTGGTGTGAATTATGTTCCTCTCGTTTCAATCTCTGTTTCTGGTGACACTGTTGGCTTCCTGCATCGTAGAAACACCAACCTGAACGGCTGGTCCAAGCGCCGTACGACCTTGAGGACTTCTTGCTACTTCGACAATGTAAGCAGTGCGTATGTGATGCGCACACCCATAATCCACACACACGTCCATGATGCACACACACACACACACACACACACACACACACACATACACCCTTGTACTTGTTGCTCACTGCCAAAACTGGTCACGTGGGTCTCCCCGGGAGAGGGGAGAGAGAGACTCAAAAGGAATTTTGGAAAGATGACTCAATTGGCTATTGAACCGCCTAACGGCCGACACCCCCTGAAATCCCCAAAACTCTGGGTGGACGTGAAAATGATCCCACCTATGGGCTCACCACACCTCAGTAAGTGGATGAGGAAAAAGTGCATAAAAGGGATTGACGGCATCAGGGTATCCGTCCTGGGATCCAACTGAAGTTACCCCTGCCCCCAGTGAAGGTAATACTTGCTACTAGTGTGGGTGGCTAAATCAGAGTGGCATACACACACACACACACACACACACGCACGCACGCACACACACACACACACACACACACGCACGCACACACACACACACACACACACACACACACACACACACACACACACATGATTCAACATGTAAGTAGTACACTAGGGTACATCTCTCATGTTTGTCTCCAAGATCAGATGCGCGACTTATCGAGAGTACTGTAATTTCACAATTTTTTGGTGTGCTTTTATTTTCGGTGTTTTCGGTAATCTGTTTCATACCTAAAATTCAATACACCGAACAAACCCTAACACACATAATCCAATAGGGAACTGCTTCTCTGTACCTAAATTTTCTGTTCACCTAACTTGGCCTTTTGCCCTGATACCGAAAATATTGAGCACCGAAAATTTCTGAAATCGGGAGTAGACTGTACTGACAGATATCATTATGTGAAAAAAATTCGACGGGTTCGCGTACCAGGCAGGTCAAGAACAAGGAGTCGTACAACTCCCTGGTCAAGAACCATCTTTCTAGTGCATATCAAGTTTTGGTCCCATCTCTCGTGACACGTGTTTGTTCTCACCCAAATTTTGGTGGCATCTACATGTGTACTTGTTTCTGTGTGCAAGACTTTTAAAATGCAATCACTCTGTGTGCGCGTGTGTGTATTTGTGTGTGTGTGTGTGTGTGTGCACGTGTGTATATTTGTGTGTGTGTGTGTGTGTGTGTGTGTGTGTGTGTGTGTGTGTGTGTGTGTGTGTGTGGTGTGTGTGTGTCTGTATGTGTGTGTGTGTGTGTGTGTGTGCACGTGTGTGTATTTGTGTGTGTGTGTGTGTGTGTGTGTGTGTATGTGTGCACCTGTGTGTCTGCGTGAGTGTGTATGTGTGCACCTGTGTGTGCATCTGTGACCGTGTGCACGTCTACATGTGTACCCCGGACTGTACTCTGCCCTACAGATCTCAACACGGAGGATGCTGCCAGTAAACCGTTGTGCATCGCCTGTTTCCACGATGCTCTGCCCGTCGTACGCGGGGACAGCTCCTTTAAACACCGGAAAGTGAACGAAGCCCTTGTGACATCGCGCGGTATCCGAACGCGACGTCTGCACAAGGGTGTGCGCAAGAGCATCCACAAGTGGCGCAAAGAAGCGCTCGAGGAGGGTAGCGGCGTTGCTCCAACGTGCTCCGTGTGTCGCCAGCCCACCGGCCTGGGCATCAAGGAAGTGCTGCATGACGAGCGCTGGTATCGCCTCTGCACCGACCGCCGGCAACTCTCCGTCGACAGTCACGCCGTCCAGACCCTGGCACGGCAGCAAGAGACGGAGAGTACGGCGGACGATGTCCGGCCATCGCCGTACGCCGCGCCCAGCCACAGCGGCAGCAGTACGCCGACGAAGAAGCGCGCCCAGCGTGCCAGCGGTGCGCGGGCCAATGCCAGGCTAGCTGGACAGGTTGCCAAGCGCCTATCGTGCCAGTACTTGCCACACGACCAGCAACAAGAGGAGCAGCAAGAACAAGAGTCAGTCCAAGGCGACTGTGAACCAAGCCAAAACCTGGCTTCCGAGGAGGAGAGTGGAGAGCAGCGACACTTGATGGACATCAGCGAGGAAGATTATGAGCCCCTCAGCCGTGGTGAGGAAACGGACACTGAGCGAGAGTGCGATGGAGTGCAGCAGTCAACGCCACGGCCTCCCGCAAACGACGCTGATCTCGAGGTGGTCGAGCCGAGTGCGAAACGAGTGCGACATCGTGATGCCGGTGATCTGCATGTACTTTCGCCGGTGGCATTCCGCCAACGCACGTCCTCATCGTCGCAAGACACGGCTAGCGCCGGGCAAGCGGCGTGGCAAGGTGGAGAGGTCGCACAGCCACAGTACCCGCTTGGCGCCGCAATGCACGTGCTCACACGCAGCAAACCAGTCGACGACGCCATGGACATGCTCGCACAGAGCGGCGGCGCGGACCGGCGCGGCCGACCGAAGCCGAAGGCTATTCCTCTGTCCCAGCAGGCGCTTCTTCCGCCGTCGAGCGACCTGCCGAAATGTCGCAAGCGGCAAGTGGCACAGCGGCACTGGGCGCGAGGTTTGCGAGATTACCTTTTGGCGGAGCGGCTGAAGAACAAGATCGGCGACAAGCAGAAGCACCTGTTCTCACAGCTCTCACAGTCGTTGAAGTCCGCATCGGGTCTGGACTTCGACAACCTGCTGGAGGGCCAGGCGAGTGAGTTTGTGGTGGTGAAGAAACCGCGCAAGTCACGCAGTCGTCTCACTCGGAGTATGTGGTGCGATTGGTCACGATGGAGTGGACAACGCCGAGGCTGGGTATGTAATCGTGGGCTCAGCCATTGTAATTGTCTTACTGTTTTCTTTCTTTCATTTTCAAGCAGGAGTGGTGCATTTTCTAGTCCTGACGGACTCGGGTACTGCTGGATCAGCATTTCAAACAAGTGTTTACTGGCTCCAGCAACGTTGCCTGCACAGTGTTGGATAGTATGTCTGGTGATGAACCATGCATGGATTCGGAACTCTTGCCTGACTTTCTTCATGTTTGTGTGTGTGCGTGTTTGTGTGCATGGGTGTGTGTGTGTGTGTGTGTGCGTGCGTGCGTGCGTGCGTGCGTTGTTGTTGTCGTTTTAGAGGGAGCTTCATCTGGCTGCGATTCCCAGACGCAAGCCAATACGTTGTAAGTTTTGTCCAGAATTTGTTCAATCAACTTAGATATGTATCCCCAACTCCCT